AACTGATTTTATCTTTTCACTGTATGTACATTTATAAACAACCCTAGCTTTTCTTTGGAAACATGCTAAAATTTATATTAGTAAAAAGAAATTTCCTGAACTCATATTCAATAAGCCATTCTGCTACTACTAGATGTTTGATTTGGGGCAAATTTTTCAATCTTTCTCAGCCTCAGTATCCTCATTTGCAAAATAAGGATAATAATCTCTTCCTCAAAGAATTAGTGTGAGGACTGAATGAATTAACAACTCTAAAGCATTTAGTACATTAATATTAGATTCATCTGAATTATAAGTTACATGTGGAGAATAAACTGCGATAAGAGAAACATTTAAGATAACTAAGTTGATGAAAATGATGGAGCCAGAATTCAGTGTAAGGTTTGTTAGTGTCTGAAGCTCTGTTCTTCATCATGATGTGGTTAATCTTCAGACTGGCAGAGGATCTCATTCTGAGGTTACAAGAAAAATCACTTGTGGAGCTTTCTAACAGATACTTAGGCCGCTCCCTATGCCAATATAACATGAATTGAATTCTTGAGTGTGGGACCAGCAGATGTATATATTTTTTAAAATCTCCATAGACTAGGAACCATCACATTTCCTACAGAAATCTTTTGCTTCTCATCATGTCTATGAAGAGTCTCTTTGGAGTTGCTAAGTGTCGAGTTTCTGGTCCCCAGATATAATTGCTTTTTATACCAAGAACGTCATAAAAAAGTTATAAGTAAATAAAACTGTGCACCGATATCCAGAGAAGGTGCTTTTGCTAGAAATATTGTTTCTAGCAAATCAGGTACCTTGATAGGTAACTAATTCATGAAAAATAAGCAGCAAATCCCTGATGGATGTGAGAAATAAGCTTGATTAATCTACCCCTATCTGTCAGTCTATTTTACCACAGAGAGTCAAACAAACAAATATACAAAATCAAAACAAAACAAAAACCTATGGAATATTATGAAATACAATTCACATATCAGAAATTAAAGTCTATTAGAAAGGACAAGCCAAAGAATTGGGATGATTACTTTTGGAACCTAGCTTGCCGTATTCTAAGAAAGAAACAATTATCAACAGAAATACCCAGAGTCTGTCTTTTGTGAAAGATTGTACCTATGGATTTTATCTTAGATCTCAGGATTTGTTAAATCCATAGTTCCATAGTGTATTGCAAATATGATAAACCAAGAGCAACTCATCAAAGGTCACATGTCTGTTGTTTGGAAATCTGCAGGCTTCTTAGGCCTCCCTGACTATACCTAAAATTCAGCTGATTTATCCAAGAGAAACTTTTGGTCTATGAGAAACTTACTGGGTAAAATATAGTTGGAAAATTGGTCTGAGGGTCCAGTTATAAGAAGGTTCAAAGAGATATTTTTTTTAGAAGGCTAGGCAGGAGGCACAACATATCCAGTTGCAAAAAATCAAAAACAACAACAAAAAAACGCCAAACCAGTACCTTCTATTTTAGAGAAGGATGACTAGTAACAATTGATACAGTAGGAAAAATTCAAAAACGTATGAAGCTTGAAGATCACCATTCCTCCTATTATTGAGGTAAAGGATTAAAAAGAAGTCTGAGTTGCACTCAATGTCAAGAACTTTCCTCAGGCAATGGGGTGAGCAGAGTGAAGGGATGAAATGAACTCCTAATCCCTTTTAGGTAAATAACAATAGGTGTGGATTTAGGGCCCCTAAAAGGGCCCTGACAGATTAAGAAAAATAACTATCGGAGGTGTTTAGTTTACTTTGCTTCAAATGCCTATTTGAGAAAAACTACCTGAGTAATTTTGCCTTATTCTTGGTGACAGAGTACTAAAGGAACCTATATAATAAAAATGAAGAGAAATACAAATAAAAACATATATATTTAGAGTCAGATGAAAAAATAGAGCCAGAAACTTGGCTATAAATCCTATACTGTGGCTCTATAATAAAATCTTTTATTGAAACATGCAGCATTGATAGTTTCTCAACAAGCCAGATATGAAAGTTTTGTGGGGGATCCCTCCCCTAATTTCTTACTTTCTACCTTTACCTCTTACCTTTTAACATGCTACTGGGATGGGCAGACAAAATATACTGAAGACTGTGGCTTTAAAATGTTCAACTTCTGATGTAGGGAATGATACTGTGAAATGAAATATCAAACATCTATCTTAGTAAATCAAGTATATTATTTGTATTGGGAATAATTTCTGCTTGATTCTTTTAAGTCACTAAAGGTAAAGTTGTTTACCTCCTAATATGAAAGACACAAACTATTTTTCCTTTATTGCTTCATTTAGAATGGTAAATTAGGTAAAACTATACTGAATAAGGGAAAATAAATAAATTAGAACTAAGGTAACAAAACAAAACAACAAAAAAAAGAGGGCGGAAGGAATAGGTGATAAAAGGTAATAGATTATGTCCTTGGTAAGGCAACTAAATCCCCAAACCAGCTAGAAGCTGACAAGGTGCAGGCTGAGCACCCATCCAGCCCAAGGATCTGTTTTCACAGCAGTGGTTACCTACCTAATAAACACGAGAAATTAGGCCGGAAGAAGTGACTTGATTTTCTAGCCCCACGCAGTGGTTCATCAGAAGCTTCCAGTTCAAGTGCAGAACACTGATAAATTACTTCAAACCTGTCCTTTCTCTCCATTTGCTCTTCTCCTGAGCTAGAACGCAATTACACTGGTGTCCGTTGATCTCTAATTCCTAGGTAAGGCTCTTATCAATAAAACAGCCAAAAGGAGGTACAAAATGGGAAAGGAGAATAGTAACACACTTTCATAACATCTAAGATATCACCAGCTATTTTATAATGTACATATAGCTTTGTAGGTGAAAATCCTAGCCATTTCATCAACATGTTTGTTATACATCTAATGAAGCTAAAATTTGGCGTACTATCTGGCACTTTAATCAAAGTGTAGCTTATTACGATAATTATAACAGCTTTGCAGTTCAAGAATGAGGATATGAATGTAATGAAATAAAAGCATTTTTAGCAATCATGCCAGAATTTCCATATTCAATTGAGAAATATTCTTTTTAAAGCAGTCACCTAGAGAAATTGTATATTTCTAATAAAGTTGCCACTGCTTAAAACATTTTGGCAACATCCCCTTTAAAACCAATGTGAAGATCGTTTATGAAAATTATCATTAAGTTATTTTAATAATTAGAATTCTTATTTTCTGGAAGATTTGATTACTATCTCCATTCAGTTTTAATATGAACATCAGTTTATAAATAACAGAAATTATTAAATAATCACTATTTCTAAGATACTATATAGAATATGATTTCCAAATATCACAAAAGAGTGTTGTTTTAATAACATTTTTTGGTAATTATTTTAATTTTTTTTTCAATTAGAGCTGACATTCAATATTACTTTATATTAGCTTCAAGTGTATAACATAGTGGTTAGACACATAATTTATGAAGTGATTCCCTCTATTAGTCTAGTACCCACCTGGCACTATACGAAGTTATTACAATAATACTGACTATATTCCCTATGCTGTACTTCACATCCCCGTAACTACTTTGTAACTATCAATTTGTATTTCTTAATCTCTTCACCTTTTTTCACCCAGCACTTCAACCCCGAACCCATCTCGCAGTCATCAGTATGTTCTCTGTGAGTCTGTTTCTGTTTTGTTTGTTCATTTATTTTGTTCTTTAGATTCCACAAGTAAGTGAGATCATACAGTACTTGTCCTTCTCTGTCTGACTTGTTTTACTTAGCACAATAACCTCTAGGTCCATCCAGGTCATTGCATAATAACATTTTAAAATGAAGAAACTTCATATAATAAACCTGGAGTCTTGGCTTCTCTTGAAAATTAAAACTAAGAGATTTCGCAACACGGGGCAAGTATTCCCTCTTAGTAACTATTACGGGGAACTGGGCAGAGGCTAAGGCTGATCCCTTTAGAAAAGGAAATGTATTTTCATTTTATTCCCTGCAAATGCAATATATACAAATATACTGACATCAGAGAACTTGACTCATTGTAGTAAGGCAGTTAGCATACAGGTAAAACTAAGTTGGCATTTTGGGTGGCTAAATACTCCAACTTACCTCATTGCTAGAGGATTACCTATTCTTGCCTTGTGGAACTCTGAAGTGGCTTTAGGATTTGCTTTGACCAATAAAATATAGATGCAAATGAAATTTATCACTTTAGGGCAGAAACTTGTGAACTAGCACACAGTTCACCATGTCTGGACATTAAGCTATGAGGCAATATTCCAGGCAGAGGTTTTTCCATCAGCCTTGGCCCTGGAGAAAAGACAATGAAGAGTAGAATCACAGTCCATAACAATGGGCAGCAGGAGTGAGAAATAAATCTTTCTTGTAACCCACAGTGATTTGGGGACCATCTGTTACTACCATCTGACCTAGCCTATCCTGACTGACACACACACGTTTAAATGACCTCCCTAGCCCCTGTAAGCAATGGAGTTTGTGACTCATGCTTTTCCTACAAGTTCGCCTCTATTTTTAGAATGTGAAAATGTAGAGCTCAATAAGATTAAATAGTTTGTTAAGAGATAATAAAGTAAGTCTCTGTATCCAGGTCTGTCTGATTCTAAAGTCTACGCACTTACTTTAATTCTTTACTCTTCTACACCATAATATGACTAGAATGTTTTTGCCATTATTTTTATTTTCACAACACTGTTGATAAATAAAACGACTTTGAAATTCACTAGTTTGTCAAATATCTAATCACAGTAGGTATCTTAGCAAGGAATTTGCTAAAATATAATAATGCTTTTTTGATTTTTCTAGATATTTAAAGTATATATGTTAATATATAATTCTATAGTCTTTGGGTTTATTTTGTAAACACATTCTATCTGTACCACTTTAAAATAATTTTAAATCATATTTATTGTTTTGCACACAACTCACACAATTATTAATATTTAAAAAACTCAAATGCAAAGTAATAAACTTGGCTTCTTTTCCCCACAAAAATGGGAAATATATCTTGGTAAAGAAATTTTTAAATTATTTTTACACACCAGTTACTTGTTGGAATTTGCAGTTCCAGCAAAAAAATAATTAACCAGCAAAAAAAAAAAATTAACTGATTACTATATAAAACAGTTTACAATAACATGGTAAGCAAGAAACAAAAAATGATCAGTAAACACTGCTTTAAAGTAATTTTCAAACAGATTTCTATTATAGTACAGTTTACTCCCAGTAACTCTAAGCCCATTAAGAGCATCTCTATATATACAGAGATATAGCAAATGATAAAGTATTTACTGCAACAACAAATTAAAGGTTGTCATAATATATGTAACTTAAATACCCCCCCAATGATAAAGTGGCTTCTTATTCCTTAAACATAGAAATTCTGCTTTTCAGTGTAGAAAGATGAAGTCCTCTCATCAAAAGGCACATTCTTATCTGCAAGAAAGAAAAAAAAAAAACTATAAATGCTCACCCTGGAACAAATTTAAACATATTTAAAAATATTCCTTAAGATTTGCAGTGGCAAGAAGATAATGCAAGTATTTAGTCTAAGGGAATTATAATAAATGGCGCAGATAAAACACATAATTACTTTGTCTATATTAATTATATCAGATATCATCTTTTAATTTATAATTCTAACTTTTTCAAAGGGAATTTTATGTAACTAGTGTGGGTAATTAAAGACTATTTCACAGTCATACCAAAGTGATATCCTCATATAATATTCATAAATGATTTTAATTGACTTAAATATATAATACGGTTATTTATTTCCATAGTTTCTGTAAATAGAATTCTTAACTGATCCTATTTCTAAACCTTCAGAAATGAGAATTAATTGAAGCTGTAGGCCTGGAAATATGTTTTATGAAACAAAAAATGCTTCTAATATTTACAACACAATAGCAGAATTTATCTCTATGGAAGATCAGGTTTTCCATAAATATACATAATGGGGCAAGTTTGCCCACTTTTTAACCTCATTGACTAGTTTCTGAGATTATATTGTCATCACACACATTTTTATAGACCTTAATTCTAAATATACACCAGGCTTTACTGTTACTTAACCCAAACCGTAGCTACCAAGAAACTTCCACTAATAACCATTATAACCAAAAGCATTTAGTCGAACTAAAAGAACAGCCACAGGTGTACAAATTTTACTAACTTAATAAATCTTCCTTTATAATCATGAACATTTAGAACTTCATAGGAGATATATATGAGAATGAGTAATACTCTCTTCTAAGCTATCATTTTATCTAAATCATTAAGTAACCTATAATAGATCTCTAAATGATTATTAGATTGCTACAAGCTAATAAGTTTCTAATATATTTTAATTTGAGGGTAAATTTAAGCTTTTGAAAAAGATATTCAAGGTTATTAAAAATAATGTAACATTTAGTTCTCATTTAACACAACCTTTGTCCTTTGCATGCTTGAAACTCTTATTAATCATCTTGATAATGAATTTGTGGGTTATGAAAAAGTAAATCAGTAAAATCAAAATCGCAGTTTCATTTAGCAGAGGAAGAACACAAAGTGGCAGGTACCTAATCCAACCCTATCATTAAACAACCTTTTGAATGTGGATTACTTATTAGAACCTAAGGAATGTTTAGCAACAGCACTATAAGATGTTTTGTAATCAAGTACCTAGTATATGAAGAAATCTCTTAATGTACAGTTTCAGATATACATTTTGAAATTCATAACCTCAAAACATGTTAATATGCATAACTTTATTATGATATATTTATATTACACACGTCCAACATTTTCTTAAACCTACTTATATTTTTCAGACTGTACAACCTGTTCCCCCACCTACTGTGTTGCATTCCTTGAGTTGGAGTTTTCTCAGAATTCCACCTCAGATATTTTCATCCTGTTTAACACCTACAATGTGCTATGGATCCACCATTCTCTAATCTCTCCCTGGCATGACTAAACTATAGCCCAAACAATACTGAAGAAAATGTTCTTTCTCTATGTGCCTTATAAGAAATATTTTTAACCTATCAAGAATCAAACCCATCATCCTCCAGCCTTAAACATGGTCTTTCTCTGTATCTTCTTAACTCAAATAATGACACCATCTACCTAGTCACTGTGTTCAGTGGGAGCACTTAGGTCCTCTCTGACTGCTTCTTATGTCCTACATTCTGCTCAGTACTATCATCTTGTCAGACTTTTTCATTTCCTTCTATTCCTAGCTACCCTTTGCTTCTCAACTAAACAGCTGAAACAACTTTTAAATACTGGACCTTAGTTTCTTCCCAATTTTAATTCATCTTTCACCAGCTGGTCACCAAAACCAATTTTCTAGAACATGAATTTCATGGTACTACTTCTTCACTCCTAAGCAGTTGATGATTTATGACCATTTTTACAAATAGTAAAATCTAAATCCTTAATATGTTTTTTTTTTTAACACAGTCTTCTTGTGTTACAAATCTGACTGATTTTCTATGATATGTTCTAAAGAGGCTCGTGACATACACACTCTTGACAGAGCATCACTTGGCTTATACTTTCAGCTCAGCATGAAATGCAGCTTTCTCCCCGTTTCATAAGGCTTATTTGAATATCTTACATATATATTTTTTAACAACGATAACTCGAGCATCACCTCCTCAGTAAAATCTCCTATATTTCTATCCCCAACTCAGTTTCTCAGAGATCCCCCTGGCAGTTTGAAAAATGTGGAGCATTAGCATGGCATGGGGAAAATAACCAAGCGCTCCTGCTGCCTGGAGAGGTGATATAGAAATTGTAAGAGGTGGACTGGCAGATTCAGAGAATCCTGGAGATAGAACCAGGAATACACAGTATAATCTGTGTGGACTGTTAATAAGAGGCTCTTTTGGCAAAAGTGGCAGAAATAGAGGTGAAAGCCCTCAAACCGAGCAGGACTGCAAGTGTATTCTCTCCGATGGAAAGGACTATATTTCATAGTTTCTAACACACATATTTCATATTTTAACATCTTTAAACTTGGGATGCATCTTCCAGTTGGTGACATCTCAGAATTGCTGTCAGATAGGTGGTAGTTCTTATATAGCTGACATTGCCTATATGTGCACAAAATTGGTCAAAGCTTTTTGTATTGTCATTTCAACTGAATTATACACATTGTTGGTAATGATACTTATAATGCCTTCAAAAAGATAATATCATGAATCATCACTGAAGCAAAAGTTATTGTATATATAGAAAAAGATGAAAGAACAATAGGCTAAAATTTGATATCAGTAAGCAAACGTTTGTCACTGGAACAGTGGAGTCAATTCCATATTTTTGCCAAGAAACAACCATCTCTTTTAAAAATGAAATGATATTCCAGGAAGACAAAACTCTGATAATTTTTATTCTGAAAAACTATTACACACTAATAAATGTATATGACAGCAAAAGAAGTTGACAAATTTTTTAAAGGTCATGAAAATGTAGTAGTATTAAGAGGTTAGTGTGCATGATTCCTATGTTAGGTAAAAATATCATAATATTATTGCATAATTAAATTGACAGTATTTTTTTCTTTTGGTTTTACAGCTTCAAATTAATATTGTCTTAGATTAAATGAATAATGGTGCAAATCTCCATAGAACTTAAGTCAACCTGATGTGAAGAGAGGGGTGAAAGAAGTGTGGAGAATCTTTAATTAATGATGTTTAAATCTTGAATTGACAATGTTTAGGCTGAAAATAAGTACTGAAATGGACAAGTTCAAGTACTTCACCATTAGAATTTAAGATTAAAAAAAATTAAGAATGTTACATTCTTGCTCAACCACATTCTATGACAGTGATATGTAGAACTAGCATGACAAATCTATTTCAAATGTATAGTCACACGAGAAAACAGACACAGGTAACCTCTAATGCCTTGATGGCTTTCAATGTATTTAAAATAGTGTATGCAACATATTAAGTTGTCTGTGCTACTGAATTTAACAGTTAAATGCATTTTTTAAAAAAGACATTCATTCATTTAATCACTAACATATATATATTGAGCTTTTATTATTTGACAGTGGCGAAGATAGTGATGACACAAAAGAAAATAACAAAACAAAACAAAATTCCTCACTCTCTTATTACAGGGCCACAACTAAAGCCTAGAAATCATTCCATGGACAAAAAACCTTGGTCTTAGAAAGGAAAGCCTGAATTCTAGTACCATCTTGGTCAGTTATTTATGGATGCTCTAAAGTCCTTTTTCTCAAAGGGGAGATAAAACAATTTCCAAAAGAAGATTAAGGATGTCTTTTTATGGAAGTCTTCAAGATGAAAACTTTACATAGTCCAAAAGCTGGGAAAGCATTTAGAGATGCAGTCAAACACACTATTTGACAGGTAACCTGGTAGAGAGGAAAAATCGAGATTCAAGGGACTAAAGGTCATTCAGTTATCAGTGACAGAAGCTCAAGAAGCCCTGGAGTCTACACAATCATATTCTCTTTATTTTATCACAATACTTCTCAATCATGAGGGTTTAGTAATTGAAATCTAAAGATTAGATCAGATGTCAAATGCTCTATTTTTCTACCATTTACAGAATTCCCACCTTACTAAAATAAACAAACAAACAAAACTACTCTGGCTATAACAATAGATTCCTACTCCTAAAAAACAAAAGCAGCGGCATCCTATTGGCATGCTATGTTCTATCCTATAATCCTATTGTCCTGGATACCTCTTATTTCTCTGCAAAACTGCTACTCATAAACAATAAATAATTCCTCAGAATTTATGTCTTAATTCAGTGACCCCCACCCAAATCTAAACATTTCTGTCTTCCCAGGCTAAATTTAACCTTAGAAAATACTTTTAATAGCCAGGATGGCAATATTATAAGCTATCTACTCAACATTTATTCTCTTCTTTTTGTTTGCTAATAAAAATGTTGGTCTTCTTCTTCTGATGATGATGATTATGATTATTGGTCGGAGAAGGGCGGTGTGTGTATGAACGTCTCTTGGGAGGACGGGGACAGTTTGGAGAAATTTTGATTTCCTGATACAGAGGTCAACATGATGTGAGTTCTTGCCTGCTACCCTCTTGCTGACTGGAACATAGATGTTATAGGTGAAAACTATAGTAGCTGGATAACAAGGATGTGACAAGCATGAGAAAAGGTTCAAGAAAAGTGCATAGATGTAGACCCTGTTATCAAATAGCCATTGAATTGAGGCCAGGAACAACTCCTGCAGACTTAATTACATGAGAAAAACTTCTGAGTCTTTGTAATTTGGGGTTCTCTATTACTTGTAGTAAATGATAGTCAAACTTATAGAAGCATAGAGTAGAATGGTGGTTGCCAGGAGCTGAGGGGAGAGGTAAATGCGGAGCTGCTAGCCAACAGGTATAAACTTTTGGTTATGTAAGATGAATAAATTCTAGAGATCTGTTGCACAACATTGT